ATAATACAATAGAACGAGAAACAATGGAATACAATACATTTTATGAATACATTACATCAACTGCGTGCTACGTAGGTCACCCCGAAACGAGGTTGAGAGGAACTAATGTAGTTTCATTGTCAGAATATTATTGATTCACGATCAGTATCTGTTCCTGATATTTTTTCGATTTAAAATGCTTGTCGGGACTCCCTCCCTCCCAACCTCTCAATCCGGCATTCCATTCCTATCTTTTATTCTACTGTTTACTGTACTGAATGCACATTTATCTATTGCTATTTTTCATAGAAACTACCGAACTTTATYGTGGATATAAGATCGATGGGTACACGTATTGCAATTGGTGATATTCAAGATTCGGTTCATTTCGTAAAATATAAAGCGAGAGACAATCACTTRATCGTATTCGCTGATGACGTCAGTCCAAGGTAACAGCAGTCTTCATATTTCTTGTTTTAAACACTGCAACCATAGCAGTAATAATTACAACTGTTGATGTTTAGAAGATGTAGGCATGTGATACAGCTATTTCAAAAAAAAAACGTCGGGGAGAACGGCGATTGTCGAAGGGAGATTGCACGACCGAAAGGGACTATGGTTACACTTAGAATTTCTCAAAATTTCGCTTATTGGATTCACCTTACATAGAAATGGAGGCTAAATGGTGCCAATGTTCACGACAGACCATCTTACAATACAAATCAGTTTTTATTGCCTTTCAACAGTAAAAAAAACCATTGGTACTTTCGGTCGTGCAATCGCCGTTCGACCATTGACATTCGCCATTTTATCCGACAACTTTTTGAAATAGCTATATCTTAGACGGGTGCAAAACAGGGAAGTGGGGAACAGTCTATTCCGCCAACTGTATTGTGGTCTTTTGAAATCCCTCAGAGCTGCGCAAGTTATTCTGTACATTTATAATACCATTTTAGTATTTTAGAGTCAATTTCGTATAAGTGGGAAATGTACGGTAGAAATTACCACACGGTTACCGCACAGTTACCGGACCTGGCCTGCACAATTTTTGTGAAGCAATGGAGCACTAGAATTTGGTTACAGTACGATTACGGTTCCAGTACAGTACCGTCCGTTTCCCACTCGAAATTGACCCTATGGAAAGAAGGAGAAGAAGAAGTGGAAGAAGAAACAACATGTGTCCTTTCCTCCTCATCAAGCACTGCGCATGTCACTGTGATATTCATGGCGTCTTTWTTGTTTTTAGGTGGATTACGTGTTTATCATTTATCGACTACAACACAGTAGCAATCGCTGATAAATTTGGCAATGTTTCTTTGGTAAGCACRCATGCGCCTTCAGAGGCTTCTTGAACCTTCATCTTGAATTGAACGATCCTGATTCATTGTCCTACCTCCCTAGTTACTGTTGCTACATCGGACAAGCCAAAATATTCCTTTGATATAGAGCATGGAAAAAATACCGATTGCTGCAATATGTAGAAACTTGCTTTGTGTTATATGTTTTTTTTACATTTTCATCAGGAAAAGCTGATTACTTTAGTAAAAATATTCGATTTTGTGTTTGTTGGTCGAAGAGTTTCAATTCTAATGGGAAAACTGCACATTGTTTGGTGGTTAATATTTTTGAAGGATCGGAGAATTCCCWTATTGTTTTCTGCAAAGAAGCATTATATTTTATAATACATTAAATGCAACAACAACAACAACAACAATCTTTATTTTTTTCATTTCCATATATTACATATATTTACATTTTTATTGCATATTTTCGTAGAAAAAAATAGTATAGATTTATATTAATTTTTATAGAAAAATATGCTTTGCATTCAAGGAAATGACTAGAGACTAAGGGAACCGTAAGGTTTTCAAAGTTAGACTTTAGGCAGTTTAAATTATAAGTTGATATGTAGCTTCACACACAACATATAGAGAACATACAATAAGCAGGGAAGCAATGATAACACATAAATATGTGTATATTACAGACTGTACATCTATTAGGATGTTATATGAATCAGGACTGTACTATAATAATCTGATAGCCCATTACTGAAATGGTTACTATGACAATGACAATGATGGTTTCTTCAGGTGCGTCTTGCTCAAGGTTCAAGTGATGACGTAGAAGAGGACCCTACGGGCAACAAAGCATTYTGGGATCGAGGTTTATTAAACGGCGCTCAACAAAAGGTGCTCATTCATTTTTCTTTTCACTTTCTCACTTTTCTGTTTTTTCTTTGTTTTCTTTATTTCTTGATTTTTGCCATGTATTAGTTTATTTTTGAAAAATGAAAGAGAAATGGGAATTGAAAAAAAGGAAAATCGACCGTAGGGTTGGAAATAGCTTGGGCAACGACAAAGTCAACCATGAAAAGGGAAATAGATTTATAGTGCAGTCGGAAAATGCACGTTGTTAATTCAATTTTTTTTTTCAAGTCTATTTTTTGCATTAATTTTCTCTTTCTTTGCTAATATTTCTTACATGATAWTTTTTATTATTTCCAGATGGAAAATATTTGCAACTATTACGTTGGTGAAACTGTGCTCTCACTACAGAAAGCTACGCTTATTCCAGGGGGGTCCGAGTCCCTCGTATACACAACGCTGTCAGGGGGAGTTGGCATGCTCGTGCCTTTTGTTTCGCGAGAGGTAAGTTCACGTCACGCGGGAATTGTCGCGTCATCCCACGAACGCTCTGCGGACATGCCCGACCTCTCTCCGACATTGTACTCGAACAGTGTCATGCGACGATGATTGGCTAGTTGTTTTTTTCGGCCAACAATCGGGCATTTCCGTGTTCTCTTCATTTTGATTTTTGAAGAGATAAGATACTTTTTTGCTTCAACTTTAGCATCTTGTACTTTATAGAGTGCACGCCAAAAAAGCGTGAAACAATTCTTAACTATCAACATCTAATAAGATTTAGTTATCAACTAACTAAGTATTCACTGGCGCATGAACACAATGCCAAAAAGAAAATTTTCTTTGTTTATACCTCACTGAATTCTTAGGCAGTTGATAACAAAATCTTATTAGGCGTTAATTAGTTAAGAATTGTTTCATGCTTATGTGGCGTGCACTCTACCTGGAATTTCTGAATATCTATAGCTATAACAAAAGCACTTTCTTTTCTTTTCTTGTTTTACAGGACATAGATTTCTTCCAGCATCTYGAGATGCATCTACGCTCTGAACATCCTTCTCTTGTCGGTCGGGATCATTTATCGTTCAGATCGTACTACTTCCCTGTAAAGGTATCTTGAGGTCTTCATTTTAGTGATTCTTTATCTAATGGCCTCCTTCGCAGCCGTATATAGAACACAGGAAGCCCAAAMYAAACAGGCTGCAAARGAGGCTGTTTTGTTTATAGTGTTAAATGAATGCCCTTTTCACTTTGTCTTACAGAACGTTGTTGATGGAGATCTGTGTGAACATTATAACTCGCTCGAATACTCAAAACGACGAGCCATTGCCGAAGAACTTGATCGAACTCCAGCCGAGGTACCGCATCTTGAAATAAGAAAAGCATATTTAAGRATCTCTTTTTGAAATACAAAGCTTTTAAGTCGAAGTAWYAGTATAGTTTTGATGTGGWCTTATTTTTTCTTTYAGGTTTCTAAAAAGCTTGAGGACATCAGAACACGYTTTGCYTTCTAGACAGAAACACAACAAACCTGGCCTTTTCGATCCTATTTTTGTACATCCTGGACGCGGCACTATCTAAATATAAACMGCCTATGATCCTTCCACTTTCTTATCTTTTCTTATCGTATTTATATAGTACTGACACTRCTTTGAATGAGTAGTTTCATTCTTCCGCCGTGTGGCTGATAAACTTGGTGGAGGTTAACGACAAGTGACCGCAAAAAAACATATAAAGAATACAAAAATAATCAATATCAAGTGTACTAGAAAAAAATGGCAGTAATGACATCATTAGATAGTAGAGTGGACGCACGAAGTCCGTGAAACAATTATGACTACWCACTTCTAAGTAGTTTTGATTAGAGCGAAGTCTTTAAACCCGTGAAACAAAACTTGACTGTTTAAGTGTGATAGTCAGCTAGACACAGCAGAAAGCATTGCAATTGTAGCGTACTAAGGTGTAGTTGTGTAATATCTTTTCGACTTCACTCTATCATTATTTTGCACTTATTTTGTGCRATTTCTATTTCACGGATTAGGTGAGTTTACTGTAATAACAGTAACTGTATCCGCTGCAACAACAGAAACTCAATGACGTCGATAGGCATACAGTGACGTTTGCAGGAGACCGGCTCTACAASTCCTTGRAAAAAGTGTATGTAGTTTTACTGTATGTAGAAGTGATTTACCTAACTGTGTGTRTAAACTAGTCGCACTGATCGTTTTCAACCATTCCCTTGAGATTCAAAAGATAAAAGACCGGCGGCCATGTTGGAGGACTGAAATCCTTTGTTAAGAGTTCCTCCAAGATGGCCGCTGTGACGTAACTTGAAAACGAAGAATACAACAGAACATAATCTGTGAAATAAAAAGAGTTATTTCATATTATGTGGTTCTCTGTTAAAAATTCCTATAGTCATGCAACAGCCACACCCAACCGTACCCTGCCCGTGGTGCATTGCGGTCTAGCTTCAGTTTCCCGAAAYAAAAGATTTTTGTAGAGCGAATCAATACCACAATGCAATGCATTTTTCTGTTTCAGAAAAGGCCTATGTGAGGTGCTTTATTTAATAGTTTGAACKGCAAATGGTCAACTAGTATAAACTACCTGTCGATAGACTTTTTCTTTTCGCAGTCGATGAAAAAACACAATTTCCAGTTAAATGCCCAGTGTGCACCATTATGCTTTGGGGCCCGCGAGGGCCTGGCGGAGGTCATTTTGAGTTTACCGAAAGTTTATAAATTGTGGTGTGCGTTTCGAATCCGCTTATATCTTGGCCATCTCACTTTTCTAAGCACGATAATATTAGAGTTTTCAACCATCGGACATTAGTTTGAACACTAGAAGTGCGTGGTGTAAATCATAACAATAACAGAGGCACATAAAGCATAATGGTGCAAACTGGGCCTTTAAGGCTGGTTTTCACTAAGACGCAATTTTCTGTTGAAAAACTGAGATGGACTGGATGCTAGAATCGTTTGGGCGCTGCGTTTGCTCAAATTGGACGCGCAGCAAAGGATGCTAGTGCCAGGCCTTAAAAGGGAGAATCTACGTAGCACTCAGTTGATGTAATATATTCATAAAGATATAATACAAAACACATAATACAATAGAACGAGAAACAATGGAATACAATACATTTTATGAATACATTACATCAACTGCGTGCTACGTAGGTCACCCCGGCCTTAAAAAGCGTTTTGAAAATGTATACACTGTAATGAGAACTTGAGTAAAAACTAGGCAACTAGGCAACCGAGGACTGCATGTGACTCAGGACATTAAGAGATTTAGTAAACTTTGAATACACTATCTTCAGTATACAACGTTTTCTGAATCATCTGTATACGCTGCAAGGAACAGGAAGCATCACGTGGCGATAAACCATTATGTTGCCTATGAGTTATACACAACAGGCGGCGATTCCCAGGGGCCAAGGAACCTATTGTGATGGTTGATCATTCCTCCCGTGGGGACTGACGCGGGGCGCCCTGTCTCCCTGCCTACAGTAAACATATCCGTCTGAAAGACAGATTCGGAAAAGGAGTTTTATCCACGACATGGAGCGGTCCTTAGAGCTTTAATTTAGCTGTAATCAAAGACATCTTTCTGTATCTGTTGACTTATGATGATTAATTCTCGAACGTTTTCTCTGATAAAATGTTTTTATTATCTAAACAGTTTTTTTACATCCATGTTTTAAAATTACAATTCTTCACCTATAGTTTTGCAATAAAACCAAAAGGTTGCTAAGTTTTCCTTTTCATGCAATTTTATACAGATTAACATTCATGCTCTTCCAATTGTTAACAATTTCTATATTCATATTCAATAATTTTGTAAACTTTTATATCATCAAAAACGAAAATGTACATGAAACGCACTGGAAAAAATCGCGCGGCATAAAGGTTGTAAATTTGATGGAAATATRATGTAAGTGTCCAAAATGATGGAAATTTGATGGAAATGATTTACATCAAATTTMCATCATTTTGGACACTTACATCATATATACATCAAATTTACAACCTTTAATGCGCGCGATTTTTTTCCAGTTAACGTTCTAGAGGTCTTTAATTGTGTTCCGGCGTTGAATTCCTGCAAATATCTGCCTGGTTTGTAAACCGCTTACGTTAAGAATTTCAAGATGATTTGTGCCGTGGTGTTTATCCAAATACTAATAATGTCTGTCTGATATATGAACTGTGCACCTAAATTTTCCTGTGATTAAAATATTTGGAAATAACGACAATTGAACAGCTTGGTGAAAGCCGTCACATTACATCGAACATCGGTATTCGGCCACTCAAACCAGCACTCAGCACCCATCCCCACCCCCATCAAATAATAAATCCACTGAAGAATGATTAAAAGCCAGTATCGCGTTTGCTAATTCCTGACCTGAGCTCTGATTGGCTCGCTAATCCCTAAGGATTTTGGTGATGTCATATATTAGCATAGAACTTCACCGAATAGACTACCCCGATTAAATATTAGATATCTATAAAGGCTGATTTACACGGCACGATTGTCTCGTGCGACTTGTAGTATGCGACTTGAATCGCGTAGTGTAAATGCCCCTACGACTTGAATTTCTCCTGAATTGAAAGTTCTGAGTTCGAGTCCTGCTTCTGGAATTTCTCTTTTTTTCGCTTGGTTATTGTTTCTTTTTCGTTTGTTAGTTCATATGATATTTGTTTTTCTGACTTGTGTTTTTGCAGGAAATACGATAAATTCATGCTTGTTTTGTGTTAATTTTCCCATCACATTGGTTATTCTTTTATACGATTTTACTTTGCTTTGCGCTTGCGTTTATGGTCGGGTTTTGTCTTGTGTCGTATTGAAAACCAGGCGACTTCACAGTGTGGTTAGAATTCAATATATTTTGTAAACACTAAAATAACTCTAGATAAGTAATAGTAAATAAACATGGATTCACTGCAAATTATCGCCWGAGTTTTTCAATGGAGCGGCATAAACACTTTTTGGCGCCGCGCAGTCAATTACTGTACRCTTGTTGTGGTTTCTGCGTCAGAACCAGACGGCGACCACAAATAGTAGTATCAGCTTTTTTACCTTGGCGTGGTGACCCTTCTATACAAACGATCTTTTTGTGAGGGAKTTGAAACTTCATATTTCGAAAAAGGGCTACAAAGATACGGCTACCCTGGTATTATCGATGTTACAATTATATCCCGTAATCCTGGCGATGACGTGCGGTTTTGCATGTTGGTCTTTGGTCATGTTAAGTACTGAAGTCAAGCTGGCTGAACCTTTGAATGTCTGGACACGAATGCCTTACTTCTTCATCAATTTTGAATGAACTTTCAAAGCTTATTAGATTGTCACCATTGATCACTAACAATAATATTATAAATATCAGATTTTACTGTTAAGGCAATCATTGCTCTAACAATTTACTACAATTTCTTAAGAGSAATATTGGTAAAAACCGGTAAATCTCCGGTAAATAATACTGGTGAAACTGGCAGAGTTATGAAATGTTGTACAACAGTGCTTTGCGGTCGTAGCACGAGATGACCCAGTCTGGTTTAGTACGTCAAACAACTACGTGACGTTTCAAGGCRAGATTACTATAGCAGCAAATTACCTCAAAGAAAGACCTATTCCATATTCCAGAGCAGCTTCAGTACACAAGATATTTTSTAGGTATGAATTTTATAATGATATTTTGATAAAAACTTGGAATAGAAGTGTTTGTTTACTATGCAATGCAATCTACGCTGACAGTTTATAACTATAAACTKACCCCGGAAAAAAACAAATTCCGCGATATGCTTTGTTATTTTAAAACGAAGGTATTCTATTGTGTTTAAGTGTGCCGGAAAGCTTGTAGATTTTACTCTTAACTGCTTTCAGTGAATCCACGTGCGCTTGCATTTTGCCAGGACGCTCTGATTTCACAATTCGATACTCGAGTCGTTAGTATCATATTGCTTCAGGGTGAATCGTGGCAGTTTGTTGTACAGCTTATCAGTGAACTAAGCTGCCAGCCACGAGTCACACAAGGAATAGACACTGAATAATGTTGGCGCTACTGCTGAATAATATATAACAATTTATGTAAGCCAATGCTCGTGCGATGTTGCATATCTTTCTATTTGATCTGTGTAAACATCGTCTTCGGTTACATTTTGAAATGCTGTTCATCTTTTGATTGATAAGTAGGTTATAAGTGTCTTATTGAAGCCTGATGTAATTATTTTCAGTTTGATAATTAATATAATTTAAATTCTACTTATGGAAATAATTCCGTATCCTGATGATAGGCGCGCGCCATATCATAAGTTAGAAATTCTYAATTCACACGCAAGACAAAGTCGTACTCAAAACTGAGTTCGGTTCGAGAGGCTGAGAAGGATGGATTAATTCTTAGCTTTCTATGAATTAAATCCCCCTCAAACGCCGAGTATCCTCCACTTGTGCCGAGCTCAATGCAAATGCGATGGTAAATGTAGGATTCGACGTTCCATGCAGGTCCACAGTAGGTCGCGCGTCGTGGGTGATTTTTATATGTTTTTGGAAAACGTACCTGCATACTGGAGAGGTTGTCAAGGTTTGTTTACTGACTATTGACTAATATGGCTTAAACCGTTTCTTATTGACGTCATTTAGCATTTACAGTCTGAAATTGGCCCCCTTCTTCCATGTTCTTCCCACCCAGTACCGTTATATATTGGCTGACTCAACATTTCGGAATTTTTCGTGTTCCCTCATTTATACGACTCAAGCAACCAAGTTTCAGTAGYACAATTTTGCAATATCTTTATTTGAATTCTGTTTATATACCCTGCGAACAGAGTGTTAATAGTTATTTACCTTGCCAAGGTAACACGCTGTTTCGCAGAGTACTGTTTATACTGAAACTTGCCAATTCTCCGAATAATAAATTTATGGCGTTTTGTTATTCATGTAATTATTTTTATGCGCATTTCAGCTTTGTGACCTCGCAAACACCACTTAGATGTCATTTTTATCTGTGATGATTATTGTCCCTGGCACATTTGTAATTGTATATTATTTTTCCTCGTCATTTCAAAGGTTTGAATCGTATTACTGTCAGATATAAGTTKAGAGTTGGTTTAGTCAATAATATCTATCGTTCACCACTCGTTGCACGTTAGTTATCGTTGGCATTTCTACGCGAACCAAAGCAAGCGAAAATTTTAATAAATCTACTTTYATGACAGATGGGGCTTAACACAGCGCGCGGCTCGAGAAGTCTGCAAAAGAGAATAATGCGAACCAGATGCGAACAAAGAGAAATTGCAAATTCCGTTGGAGATTGAATTCAATTCAAAGCGGTCGCTRCATGCATGACTATTAATCTGATTGGCTTGTTTTGCACATGCGCATGCTATACTGGACTCTCTTTCCCCGCGAGTCCTGGAGCGGGTCGAAAGGAGGCTAGGACTGGACTAAGGGAGTCCCGTGACCCTCGGCCTTTCAAAACCAAGCACTACAATCATATTTTCCCATGGCCACGTGATATGTGGCGTCACATGTAAACCGTGAGACAACTATATGCAAGAAATAACTTTTAGTGGATGCTTCATAACTTAGCATCGCATTTTATTTTTTAAGTTGTAGCATTTCCAAGTCTTTTGACAAAATCGAATTTTCAAATTTTTGACAGGGGATCTTTGGCTGCATCTTTTAGGGAGGAATCTRTTATGCTGCTTAATATCGTCTTGCACTTGCCGATACTGTCATACTATCATMTGGGAATTTTGTAGCCTTCTCCCCAGGCGTCTCTTTAGTTCTRCCTATTTCTAACCGAGGGAGACTATGCCCAAGTCTAATACCTTGGGAGYCCTACATCCTCCTGTTGTTGCCTCGGAGGAGGCGTGGCCATGGAATGTTGATGAACAGATAATATAGYAATACTATATGTGTATTTGTACGACCTTCGGCATTTGCAGAGTGAAGAATCAATAAATCTGTTTGATTTTGGAGTAGAATTTAGAATYCTTCATAGAACAACCGAACCGTATCTCCCGGTTTCTTACTAGGCGAAATCATTCTCATTTAATAGACGACTTTAGATATTTTGGTTCAGTRACCATGCACAAAAGAATTTCAGACGAGGCTCCGGGRAAATAAAAGAATAAATCAAGATTATCCATTCAGGTTTTCCCGGAGCCTCGTGTGCGTTCTTTTGTACATAGTCATCGAACCAAAATATCTAAAGTTGACTATTAACGACTGAGATTGCGGACTTCCTGTGGTAGCACGTCATTTGTTAATGAGGATTGATATATGCGGCGTATCTAGTAAGTCAAATTACATCGTAACTACGGAGTAAATGGCCTGTGCTTTACTAGACTTCTCCACTAAGTCACAATGGAAAGCAATTCAAATGGAACGGTTATTGAGGTGAGAATGTGATTTTCTTTCCAGGCCAGTAAGTAGAGAAGCGAGTCAAATGCGAGAAAACCTGAAGCCGATCCGCAGTCGAACAGCTCTTATTGCCACGAGGCTCTAAGTGTTGTAGCACTTTCACTCATTTATATATAAAATTTCAATTATAAAACCCTCGCAGCTCGGGTTTTTTTGKTTAGTCGCATACAAAACTGGCTGCCATTTCTTATTGAAATACACTGTATCTGTCCACAACTGCAGTAATGATTTGAAGTGTAGTTGCTGGTCTTGTATTATATCAAGCGCATATTTGATGTGACAGTGCGTGGTTATGAAGCCATGCCAGGCAGTAACTAATTGAGCTAGAACTGAGCTATAGGAGAATGGTGGTGATGAGTGTTTTGAGGGTCCACAATAGGATGTTTTAAATCCCGCAATCCCGCTAATCTATTTTTACAATCCCGCAATCCCGTCAATTTTAATGTCGCAATCCCGATCCCGCATTTTTCTCTTAAGTAGATTATTAACTTAATATAACATCAGTAGCATCAACAGCTTCTTTTCCGTTTATCATCCTCTTGCGTTGTTTAACTGTACATGTACGAAATATTTTGTGCAACTACTTTTTTTCCGCTCCACCTTACATGACAGACGTCTTTCATTTCGTGTTTGTGGTGTTCATTCTCTCAGCATTACTTGACAARATAGTCTTTTATTTCATTTTTCTTTGCAAAGGAACGAGTTTCCTTTCGTCCTTCGCTCGTAGAAGAGAGCCAGACAATTAATTACATCTACTCGACCGCCAGTTGAGTTAGTTGAGGCCGTAACGGTTTGTTATTTTATTTATTACTCGTGAATAAAGTAGTCCTGGGTTCTACTTCGTGTAACACTACACGAAACAAAACAGTTGCTAGACAACAATTATTTTACTGTGAAATTCATAGAGGAGGATCTCGATGGAGGTCTACSTTTGACGGCTTAAAAAAACGACGTTTTAACGGTTAATTTTTTACTTTTTTTCTTTACGTTTAAGATGGGCTAACTATGCGCCTTTTCAAAAAGAAACACTAGAGAAGAAAATACTTGTCACTAAACTAAACAAATTGGAACGCAGAAATCACGTATCCCGCGGCAAATTTTTAGAGTTATCCCAATCCCGCCGCGAAAAACGCAAAATCCCGATCCCGCTTGCATTTTAAGATCTCGCATCCCGTCAAAATTTTCGTCCGAATCCCGAATCCCGGCATCACAAAATGGCTTATCCCATCCCGCAAAACCTATTGTGGACCCTCTGTTTTTGTAAGATATAAAATATATGTGACTCSAGCCTTACAACTTATGTTTACACAAGAAGTTGTCAGAATATTTATCACTAACTCAGTTTTAAAAAAAAACTCTTAGCTAATTAATTGGCTATTGTCCATGAAATACACTGAATCAAACAAGACTCGTCAATAGAGCAGAGTCACATGAACCATGAAATAAGAACTAAAAAGTACTAACTAATAGGSACTATTAGTTCCTAATAGTCGTTAGCACTGAACCAGAACAGTTTATTTGATCCAATAAGCAATACCCAAGAGACCACTTTAACAATSMAAGTAATCTCTTTGTACTGTTCTGGTTCAGTGATAGTGTCTAAATAGTGCGTATTAGTAACTAAGTATTTAGTTTCTATTTCATGGTTCAAGTGACTCTGCTCTAGTAAAATATTGCACATGTCAGTAAGACCAAGGAAAAGACGAGTTGATTTTTAGGGTTGTGCTTTGAGGTTGTTTTCGTTTATTTGTTCAGTGTTAAGAGCTTGTTATCTTTTGACATTTTTTTGTTGCGTACGTGCCAGTCAGATGTCAGTTTTGAGATATGGTTACTATATTGACAGTTGTGTAGTATAGTATATACCGACCGGTCGATAAAGTGAGACCGACTTGTCTTAATATTTTTTTTATTTTTTACGCGATTCACGAAAAGTCCCTTTAAAGTCCAAACAGAGTCCTAATTGATTATTCGGTTACAATCATTTTTTTTCCTCGGGATAACAAACAGCCAAACTTGTAATGTTTTTCTAACATCACATTTGCAAGACACAAACTGTTGGATTGGGTTCCCTGTCTTAAACTCCTGCTGCGCATGCTTACGTCTGATCATGTTTCAGGCCACATGCTAAAAAATCAACAGAAGCTTGAAAAAGTCGTGAAGTTCCTTGGTTTACGTGAGTTTTAGAGTTAACTAAGGGTTATTTATCACAGATGATATCTTAAATATCTTCTAAAGGACTATGCAAAGTGTGTRTTATTTAGAATATCCTTGGTCGATTTGACAACCTGTCCAAACGGCATGGGTCCGAAAAAGACTAACAAATCTTCGTATCGTTGCTTTCAAACGCCGTCTTTTTCATGATGTAAAAGACCAAGGCYCACGAACCAAAGCCGAACAGCTCAAGTGATCAATTCTTGGATGTTGTGGCATTGAAAACAAACCATGAGATGAACTGAGAAGCAAAAAGGCCACCGTCAACTTTGAGATTGTTCAAAATCGGCGAAATTTAAACTTGCCTTCCGAAAAATGAAGGGTATTCTTTTGWTGAGCAGGTTCAATGTATTTTGATATTCTATCAGATAATCAAGTCACGAAGGCAATCCACAGCCATGCGAAGCAAAGCCAAGTACAACATGGTAAAGTTTTTAGGTTTAAGGCTTAATCTCTAGCAACCAATGTCAGGGGTTTTGTTTAACAATCATTTTGTGTTTGTTTATCAAAGAGTGTCTAATACTTAATTTTTGCATATTTTCTACTCTTCGAGTTTCCGGCGTTTTAGGTAATAGTGCTTTMCTGGTTATACTTCGCTATTAGCGGGGATTTTTTTTTTCAACCATTTCSAAGAGAAAAAAAGCTTTCAGTTTTCGGGCTTTGGCACATGTAKGATTAAGTCTTAATTGGTTTCAATTTTATGAATTATGTAACTTGATTCTTACACACCTCAMAAACAAAAGCTTAATCCAAAAAACACGTGGAATARTGTCTGACGAGGAATTTTGCGGGTATTTACAAGCAAAATGTCATTACATATACCGGTCTTTCGTACGTTTATATAGAGTCGTAAATTTTCCATTATTAAATGTGTGGGCACAAATAACGCTCGCGTTTAACTATCCGGTTTTTATTTTGAATTTGAAAATTCGCATGATATTCATTGATGGTTTTTCTTGTGTCTAGTGATAGTACACTTGTAATTCACCGCAAAAAAAACGCTATTGTAGCTGATTTAGGTCGGGTTAAGAAACCCAGTGATTACTAGATATCAAAATTTAYTTTTAGTTTCAACTGCAATGGCTCGCCCGTTGCTCTGTCGTGCACTGGGGGTTGGGATAATAGGGTCAAGGGGGCCCCACAAAGATTTTGGGAAATCTTATAGATGTATGGAGGAAAAATTTGAAAAATACGACCTTTTAAGCGTATATAATATATGTCCCAAAATGTTCCTGCGCGGTCCCCAACTCCCCCCCCCCCCCCCCCACCCCCATTGTCGCTATGACCCTAAAGGAACTTTGCAAGGCAAAGCACATGGCAAACCGCGGTGACGTTTTATGACGTACTTGCGTCTGAGAAACGAAATTGAGACATTTACCTTCCAAAACCAACTAGACCATCCTTATACCCGTCTATGTATTCCTAAATCCAAATTTTATTTCGGCTCTAGTGACCTTCCGCGCCAAACTCTACCGCGCCAGGCTCTCTTACATAATCAGCAGTCGACATCAGATAATGTATAGTCGACGAACAGAAAGCCAGTTATGTTCCTCCCCCAAGTCTCTTTCCATTATTCTAACCATTTTACTTCTTTATTTATTTTTCCCAGTAATGAGATGTTACTGAATTCAAGTAACAACAACAATAACCTTTACTCTTTACTCCTTAATCTACCTTTACTGTTTTTTTTTGTAGCCCACTGAAATCATAAATTAACAAAATTCTTTGAAAAAGAAGAAATCCTATTCACTTCGCATTTTAAAGAACTGAAATATTTTTTATTCGTAATTTAGGTAGTTCAACTACCAGAAAGTAAACAAAGTTTGTTTACTAAAATATAACTACATATACGTCCTCGACTTGTTATKATTATTCAGTTTTGAGCYAGCGCGGTTGAGCTATGATAAGTGTGATGGGAGCCAATCAGCGCGTGCCACGTCAAAACCTCTTTTTGTCTCTTTTCCCTACAGYTGCATATTGTTGCAAAGTACCAACGCCAATTAAGTACACTAAATGATAGTTTGTTGTCTAAACTAGTTATCTATAAAGGGAATAAGCACGCAATATATCCGTGTGCCGTTTTATTGAATTCAGAGGAACTGTAAAAAAGCTATTGCCCCACCGTTATGCCATGAAATTACRCAAAATTGGAGAAAACCGTGCGGGCCTCCATAATGTGGTTTAGTCGTAATTAAATATATTTTTGTACTATTGCAAACAAAATGCAATTAATACGATTCAAGGATTCATTCACGAACCTTTTCCGAATTAAATTTGGTTTCACGATTGGTTGACGAGTGTACTTCTTCACAACCTACACAATGGAATCCTCATTTTTGTGATAAAGACCTAAAAACACCTGGCCCACGCCGTTAATAATCTAATTTTGACCTCAAAAATATCCAAAATGGACGAAGATTAGGCGCGTGGCATCRTCGACCAATGTGAACACAGGAACTATCAGTTGATTAATAGACGATTTTGATTTGGCGCGCGATCGAATGTGACCAGTGTTGAGTGAGRATTTGTATAGGTATTGTTCGTAATACTACACTAACGCGATTGACGACACGGGTGTGCAGTTGTGGTATAGTACTGTCCCTGTCACAAACAACTGACTGACTGATGTTAAACTCGTTCTGATTTCCCCTCTTTCTGTAGAACGAGCTCGCGAAAGAAAAGAACAAGATGGAGGACGATGAGAAGACAAAAATGACGGCCAACGGGAAAGCAGAAGAGGATGAGAAAGAAGAAGAAGAAAACGAAGAGGCCACTACAAAAATTCAYGTTGAAACTGGCGAAGAGAGAGAACACTGGGGGCGCAAGATTGAGTTCTTCCTCGCGTGCGTTGGCTACGCCGTTGGTTTGGGAAACGTTTGGCGGTTTCCATATCTCTGCTTCAAGAATGGCGGAGGCGCTTTTCTCATACCTTACCTAACCATGTTGCTYCTCTGYGGAATGCCTCTGTTCTTCATGGAGTTGTCCTTAGGGCAGTATATAGCGTTGGGTCCCGTGACTTCGTGGGCTGCTATATGCCCACTAGCTAAAGGTAAGTCCTACATTTGCTCGTATACTTTCTCKRCATTTGATGGTCTGTATTTTTTATTCYAACTCCTGGGCATTTCTCGTTGTCTTGTTAATCAAATTTCGTGTGTTTTTTATTCATTTAACCATCGGTTGAGCTAYTMTRCATTACAATACACGAGAATTGTAAATTCGTCTGTTCTTGTTGATRCACACTATCGGACCCAAGTTATATGAATTCCTTACATTCCACTACAAATTTCAAGTGCTACTAAAGACCATTTCCTTGTAAATATTGTATTTCAAATACTCATTTGTAGAATTCATGAATTTTTTGCCTGAAAATCAAAGTGCTTAGCGTCTTCGTGTAAACCTTGTCTCATGTAAATCGAAATTTTTGCTTATGAATTATTGATAACAGTGTGGTCTTGAGTAACTAATTTTTTTTGTGAAAAAAGACAAAAACGTGCTTAGCTGATGCGATTATATTGGCTACTTACCATAGGACGAAACATTTTATATTTTACACTTTTTTAAAAGCGAGATATTAGATAATGGGAATAGGGTATGGAGAACGTATCGATGAATAAAAGCCTCTTTGAGCGTCCTTAAAATCACTATTTTARAACTCTTTTTATGTAGAAGACATTTCCGGGTTTTGGGCATATTTCTGATAAATGATGGTTATTAAAGAAGTTTTACASTGTTTAGTATCCATACGTAATCGTGATAAAGTTTTCATGACCAATGTTGAAAAACATAGAATCTACTTCACCTGCCCTACCTTCATGAAAGATTAATTTTGTATACTRGCGATCAATCAGTTTTGCTCGACAGAATTTTCTCATTTCTCTTAAATTTGGTTTCATTGTTTGTCTCATAAAAGGTTCTTTTTGATGATTCGAGTAAATAAACTCCTTCCCTTGTTTTAAGATGTGAATATAAACCCAAAACATCGTCAAACAATCYCTGTGATTGCATTATTAGAACTGAAATTTTATTAAACTGACCGAACAAATCGATAATGCTACTTCTATACAGTTGACTRTAATTAGAATGTCTTTTCGTCTTAGCTMGTGCAATTTRAGTCCTTTCGTGAAAWGATTTCATCTTYTTTATCTTTTGGTTTCGATACTTTTGAAAGCTTACTCTCAACGTCGAGAACTAGCGCCTTGAAAGAGAAAAACTTTATCCTTGTGGTTCTGCTGCGGTTAGATTTTCATTCAGAGTATTTTAAAGTCTTTAAAATTTCAAAAGCTTACGTGAAGAAACTCTTTATGATTAGATAAAAAACGCCATCGGTGAAGTACATGTGCCTTTTTGTCAATGTTTTATTTATTTATTCTTCAAAAAATTGCTAAAGCGTATATTTGATAGTACTGTTGACCATTATCGGACGAGTGGGCGTATCTAGACTGCGTTTTTCAACTGTTSTACATCACATCCCTTAATTTTCAGTTGCGCAAAATCTTGTCATCTTTTAGGCTTAAATCGTTATTTTCAGTCAAATAAAATAAGCAAATATGTATTTTTTTTCAGTTCATTAGATGCTTTTGTTTGTCTTTTTTTATAACTATCCTAATTTTTCGTCAGAAACTCATGAAGGGATTGGGATTTCTAGCCGCCGTKTCCATTTTCTTCAAAATCTATAAGTGCAACTTCGTCTGTTTTATTGMTATTTCTATGTGAAGTTCTTGTCGAAGTGTTTGTTTTTTCAATGTCGTTGTGTAACAAGTTCCACCACAGGTCTGCCTWCATCAAACCGTTACATTAAAACAGAAAGAAACGAGCTTTAATATCGCACAAAAATGACAAGAAATTATTCCCTTGACTTTTTATTTTGTACTTTTTATAAGTTTTTTTATCTTTCAGTGGAGTTTTATAAGTCCACATGTAACGAAGTACTCTACAGCAAGCTGTTGCACTAAAAAAAAATTCTATAAACCGTTGTCTTACCAGTATGGAATAATGCTATTAATTCCTATGTAGACTTATATTTTGCTTGGGAAATTGCGGACAATGTTTAATTTGTTCAAATTAAGATACATTCTGTTTTTATTCTAGTATTTCAGGTGGCGCAACCCGCTATAGATTCATATCACTTCATAACTACACGATAATTGTTTTGCATTTCATATTGGTTGTTTCTCGACGTTTAAAGCTCTAAAATTTCAAACGAAAGCGGTAAAAACATTGCAATTAATCCTGAATAGGCTTATGGTCACTCGGCGTAAATGATTTTACAGTAATTTTCACATAAATGCCGCGTTTTCATCCCCTTAACTAAATCTYACCAACGCATGTGCACTGTCRCTGTTTTTGTCATGAGARCAAAATCGACACAAAAACGAAGTGGTCACCCCAGATATATCTTTTTTTTAATAGAAAAAAATGGTTGCTTTTCATTTTAAATTGAAATTCATAGRCTTCCCGTGATACTGGTAGAGACTGGTCAATCCATTGATTCCCATTGATGAAGCAAGACTTTATTTTTACATGCGTTGTAACACTATGTGGGACCAAAGCAAAAACAAAAATAGATAGAGACGTATCTTTACAACCATGCGATAATCTTTAATCTGAATAAAGATGCTATAAAGTGATTAAGGGAACTCAAACCCACCCATACTTCTCCTGTTATTCCATGGTATTTTGGACCAATTCAACGCTGCGTCCCACTTGATCCGAGCCCAAATTTAATTATAATAAGATGAAGGAATCAATTTGCGTCGAAATTGGCAAATGGCGGGATTCGACTTGAGCAAAGAATATTTTGTATACCGAGATAGCTGTATCAGTAGTATTGTAGTATATTTTTGCTAAATTCCAGTAGGGGTACATTTCAAATTWGTATTTGTTTTGAACTATCTTTCAGGGGGTCACGCACTTTGCGATTTCCACAGGGTGGGGCTGTGAGAATACAAACTTGTTACAATCTCAACATAGGTGTGGTGTTTTGACGGGTAGTCAACCTTAAAACAYTTTGCTGTATTCGTAGTGCAAATGAGTTCAACTGACTTCATAAAATGCAAAGTGTAAATGAAGTGTGAAATTACATCAAAGCAAACCAACGACAACAATGAACTTTCTGGTCCTTTTAAAAACGTATTTTTAGTTCTCTTCAATTATGTTTGATGACTGTAATACAACGCTTCTTAATTTGATTTAGTTCTGCTAAGTGCCTTGCGCAAATCACAAGATGTTGAAAACATGATAATGATGGTAATTCRTGGATTTTCCCTCACGTTGATGTTTTAAACCTATTTATTTTCAATCGACATGTGCATTCGTTTTCATCGGGTCCAATGTTTTGTAATTTTCCACCAGAACACTTCGACATTATGCTGTAATTGGCCCTTCGTTGTTGTTCACGAAGTGTCTTATCTTCCCTCATTAATTTTTAACAACTTGTAGGCCTATACATAGCCATATTTGCTAGTTTTATTAAATAGTTGCCACGCGTAATTCAAAACATTCCTGCTAACAAGCGTCGTTTTCCCATTTGCGCAATCGGTCACTGCGTCATTCCATCCCACACCGTSGATTYTTTCCAATTTTTATACAATCTTAAACTTTGATAAGTTCGATCTTGTGGTTTGTTTTTATGTCCTTTGTGTTGCTGTAGTTTGCGTCATTCGTGATGTTTTTATCGCTTCTAGATTTTTTGGAAGAAAATTTCAGGAGACGCGCTGGCTTAGTTTTCTTGAAATGACGCAACGCCGCAAACCGCGTAAGCCAGATTGCTGTGATTTCTCAAGTGGATTCTCCTTACGTATCGACGTCCTTTTCAAACGAAATGCATTTATCAAGGCGAACTATCACTTAAAGGCGATAAAGCTTTTGCCACAAAAGTCCTATATAAAAAAGAGCACGCGAAATCATTGTTTTACATGAAGATAGACTATATTATATATAAAATAGAAATATGTTCCTTACTTTAATTTTGTTCAAAAAGGCAAGTATCATATCATATCTGCCCCAGCCATGCAAGTTGATAAAGTCGCTTGATAATTCTTAAAAATGCAAAAATGTTTCACGTTGCCAATTATTTCATAATGCTTTAAGAAAAATATATGTTCTCTTGGTTTATTATTAATGTTATTGTTTTCTCTGATATTGATAAGCTTAGATGGACAATTGGATGGATAATCGAATGAATAAGAGATACAAACAGAGTTTGTGCACACAAAACATCGTTCTAGCGAAAATGCTTGTCCCATTGTATGGCGATCTACAATCGTTGCAAAAATACCTTGGACCATAGTATTATTTGTCTCCAGCCTTACATTTTGCTCCTTTATTTTTTCACAGTTTTCCCCCTTAGCCCCCTTTCATCAATGTTGGGTCTTGTTTTGGATGCTTGTGTATTATGGTAACATGATCAATGACAACATTGCATTTAGGGGGTCAGGGGGGATGAAATTGTCTGCGGGTGTTGCTTAAAATGAGCCGGGAAATTCGCTGGAATGGTCCAAGGATTTTGTCAACGATTGTGAAGTCTTGAAGCGGTTCCTTTTCCAAACTTTGGGTTTTTGTTCGTCTTATATTAAAAAGTCTCTAAAAACACTTTGATTCAGAAATATTCATATGCAATCTCTTGTATTGATCAAAGTTTGCATTCAAGCACCCCAAATAAAAATAAATTGATTGGTTGAAACTTTGCCTAGAAACAAACCTTAAAACTTTGAGGTCACGTTACAAGGGTTTTCCCTGCAATAGTCTCCTTCACGGTTCCCTACGTCAATCTGAAAGGTAGCCGTGCCTTTACATCGAAGCGAGACAACCGTTGAGCGTGCAGTGATAGATACCTGTTAATAATTGTAAGTGTAAGTGTGAAAGAAGGTTTGTATTATTGCACGCTCAACGGTCGTCTCACKTCGATCCAAAGACACGGCTACCTTTCAAGATGGCGCAGGAAACCGTGAAGGAGACTATTCTGTCAGCTTTTCTAAAGCAAATTGTGAGTACTGAATATACACATCGTTAACTAGAGTTTCCGTACTKTTTGTAGGCGTGGGTTTTGCCATGTTGGTAGTGTCTTTCATGTGTTGTGTTTACTACAATGTCATCATCGCTTGGTGCCTGTACTACATGTACGAATCSTTTGGAAGTGAAGTGCCTTGGAAATACTGCGGYAATCCATGGAACACGGACAAGTGCCATCGAGGGAGAGCGCCGCTGATCCTCAAGAACGTCACAAACTCCACGCTGTGCACCATCGGCTCCAACCTTACAAACCCAAACTGCATTGCGGTCAAGGCTGACGTCATCACTCCYAGCAAAGAATTCTGGGAACGCTACGTGCTTCAAATCAGCGACAATATTAGCAAATTTGGCGAGATGAGATGGGAACTGTTTGTTTGCCTTGTGTTGTCATGGATTCTTGTGTATTTTTGTCTGTGGAAGGGAATCAAGTCGTCGGGGAAGGTCGTGTATTTTACAGCGACGTTCCCGTACGTTGTTCTTGTGATTTTGCTAATTAGAGGTGTCACCTTGCCCGGTGCATCAAAAGGGTTGTTGTTCTATCTTAAACCTGACTTCTCGAAGCTTGGTGAGGCCATCGTGTGGGTCGATGCTGCAACACAGATATTCTACTCGTTGGGGATTGGTTTTGGGTCGTTGATAGCCATGGGTAGCTACAATAAGTTCCATAATAACTGCTACAGGTAAGACGAATACATTTTGCTGACAGGAGTATGTTATAACGCATTTGTAAGACATTACAGCATGCATYCATTAAGGTGTTGTCATTTACCCTTGGCGTCTAGGGGTTGACTAAAGATAAGAATGTTTCTGGTTAACCGGGCTTATTTTTCAGTCGACTTGTAGTTGTCAAAAGACAAACGACAACCTCCTTCAATCGTTTCATATTAATTCTGGTACTCTTCTTTTTGCGCATGCGCATGAATGATTTCTTTGACTATCCCACATGGCTAAGTGACCATTGCCATGTCATTAATCATGAGCTTTTTATAGGGACGCCATTATAGTCGCTAGTATCAACTGTAGCACTAGTGTGTTCGCTGGCCTCGTCATCTTCAGCGTGCTGGGTTTCATGGCCGAGGTTCTCGGTAAAGAAGTCTCCGAGGTCGCCACGTCAGGTCCTGGATTAGCCTTTGTGGTGTATCCCGAGGGTCTTGCTCAGATGCCTATTTCGCCGCTATGGTCAATCTGCTTCTTCTTCATGCTGATYACCCTTGGTCTAGACACTCAGTTTGCCATGTTCGAGGCTGTTACTACAGGTTTGGGCGACGAATATAGCAAATTCCTCAAGCATCGAATGGAGCTCTTTATAGCSTTTCTTTGCTTCGTTGCATTTCTACTTGGAATTCCAATTGTTTCWCAGGTTTGTATTTTTAAAGTAATATGGCCGCCATCTTGACTTCCTTCCTTTTATGGGTTGTYACGAACCGTTCGAAGCGAATCTTATGATTGGTTTAGAAAACAATGGAACAAGCAAACAAAACAAAAACCAACCTAACAACGGAGATTCTGTACTAACGGAGGAATATTCTCCTTCACGGTTACATGCGCCATCTTGAAAGGTAGCCGTGCCTTTACATCAAAGCGAGACAACCGTTGAGCGAGCAATGATAGAAAYCTGTGAATAATTGTCTGTGGGCGTGAAAGGTTTCTATATCATKGTACTTCTGTTTCATCAACCAATTTTGTTTTTATTCACCAAGCTTTCGGGCCTGTTGGCTCATCCTCAGGGTTACAATGGTTTCTATCATTGCACGCTCAACGGTCGTTTCGCTTCGATGCAAAGGCCCGGCGACCTTTCAAGATGGCGTAGGGAACTGTGAAGGAGACYATTAAAATGCAGGCTTCAAAGGGATCGTGACAACCGGCTTTAATTTGTAAGAAATTATTGGATGCCTTGGGTACTGTATACTTGTTTTGCTCATCATTAAAATCAGCGCGTCAGTCATGATTGAAATTTTATTCACTTCTTAATAGTTTCTGCTCTCCWGCGCAACTAGTGATGTATACAAGGCCTCAGTTGGGGCATCTTCAACTTTTTCTGTTCTCTGAGCCAGCTCTCGCTTCTTCCCGAGATTTCCAACCTAAAACTTTTAAAAATTCAATTATTCATTAATGTATTATTTATATATTTTTTCTAACAGAGTGGAGCTTACATTCTAAACTTGTACGTATGGCAGTCTGGAGGTATCTCYCTCGTGTTCCTTGCGTTCTTTGAAGTGGTGGTAGTAGGCTGGTGCTATGGTGCTGAYCGTTTTGCTAGAGATATCGAAGTTATGATAGGATATAAGATCAATCGTTGGTGGACGCTTGCCTGGAAGTTTTTTACTCCAACTGTCATAATTGGTAAGTGAGTTGACACGATCGCCTCTCCGCTCGCCGACACGCCTTCTTATTTAGGCCTCACCGTTCGTCTCAAAGACGTTGTTCAGGGTTGAGTGCCGATTCTGACATAATTGTAGATTATATTCGATTTGAGTTGCCTTCTAAAATTCCCAACCAAAGCGTTTGTAATACAACTACAAGCAATCGTTATGTGATATAGAGGTGTCCATAATATCGAGGTGTATTTATTTTAAGGGTTTTAAGGGTGTTATGGAGGTCGTATACATGTACAATGTCTCTAATATAAAGGTGTCTGTAATATAGAGGTGTCCGTCATATAGAGGTGTCTGCAATATAGAGGTATATTTATTTTAAGGGTTTTAAGGGTGTTATGGAGGTCGTATACATGTACAATGTCTGTAATATAGAGGTGTCCGTAATATAGAGGTGTCCGTAATAAAGAGGGTTAGTCTTATGGAAGTCGTATACATGTCTGTAATAAAGAGTTTTCTGTGGGAAAGTATAATTCACCAGTTTCTCGTTTTCTATTTTTTCAGTGCTGTTCTTCTTCAGTTTAGCTCAGTGGTCGGGCGTTACTTACGGCAAATACCAATACCCCCCGTGGGCCGAGTTCGTCGGCTGGTGTATGGCCTTGGCGTCCATGTTGTTTATCCCTGGTGTAGCACTATACAAAATTCTTTGTAGAAAGGGGCCATTAATCGAGCGTTTGCGCTTTTTACTAAGACCAGACCGAGAACAAATGGAGAAGATAGCGTTAMGAGAAGGTCTACCGAAWATGCATTCTGATAACAACGAAGCTACTACGAGTCTTTAAAACACACAGTTTCATTTTCAACGAACTTTGTTATATCATTTAAAGCTTGCTGTTATGTTTTATTGGGACTGCGATGTTTGAAATTATGCGAAATAGGGGATAGATAACTCGGACAGGTTTTTACGAAGGCTTACGGAAATTTTACGAACTGTCTTCGAAGTGTTCTCGAGGATTTCCCGAAAAGTTTACGACGAGTGCTTGAAAAGAGCAGTAAGTAGTTGATCTTATCAATGAATATATAATTTTTAATATTCTTCATTATACGTATAATAATTCTTATTATATATCATAAGTTGTTTTTACATGAAGTAGACCTTCAAAATGGCCGCCGCTTATAAATCATAATGTTTTTGTCGATGGCTTTGACAAAGTGATTCCCGAAATATTAAAATATGCGCTTAACTTTGAAGCTCTGAAACCTAGTAAATTTCAATGAACATCCATAGGGATAAGTATTTGTCAAATGTGCTTATATTTTAGAAACAAATGTATGATTGTTGGGTAGCCTACATACCCACAAACATTGGTAAAATTTCCTGTAAAAAAGGTAAAAAAAA